TTGGCTTTATAAAGTTCATTATATTTTCTGGCAGGTGGAAGTGTTTATTGTGATCATAGGGCTTTTTCTATAGTTTTGCGAGGTTGAACTTGCACCACGTATTGATATCTTTGGGGCATAGCGAGTGGCGGTACGGTCGTTCGCTTGACGCAGTCACGTGATAAAATGTAGACCAAACAGCCCATATCAAATCTTTTACTGTCTTCTTGCAATTTCTTCTGATTGAAAGTCCATAGTAAGACTGCAGTTTCAGAATCGCAGCATCAGTCAAACGATTTTTACCCCCAAGACGAAACCCATCTGGAAGTTTTTTGTTTTTCAATTTCAGAGTCCTAAGCCTGGTCCCCATCCGCTTTTGGGCGTGTCCAACACATTCGATTTTTTTTTATTTCAACATCTTCCCCATATGGTTTCATTGCACTTACATCCATAAAGGCTTTTGTGTCTCCATCTCCAAGGTACTGTAAATATCTTAAGTTGTGAGTACTGAGAGAGCGATGAAAAATTTTGACTGCTCCGGACACCTCCATTGCACCACTCGTTCCATGATAGTTGGACCAGCACTTTTCCTCATGTGGGCCTACACTCAAAAACCTACAACTACAATTACAATATTTGGAAAAAATCTCAATGTCTACTACTTTACCAGTGTCGAAGGATGTGGCAGAGAGTATTCCGTTGAAGGAAGTGTGCCCACGCTTCTGCCACGACCCATCTAATGCAATCGCTAAATCACTACAGCCATCATTTCCAGCTAGAGCTTCTTTTATAGCCTCACTCATTGATCTTTTACACACACTCTCTGAAATAGATCCTAAAAACTTCTCATGAGTATGATATAGGTTGACAGGAGGGTTGAGATTCATGATTCCGCAAACTTTTTCTGCTGCCGCTCTTCCTTTGCCTATGGCACTTATGCCGTAAACTAATCTCAAATTTAGATCAAATAGTCTTGTATTTTTACCTTCTAAAACTTGTGTGGATTCTACAGATTCACAATTGTTCATAGTTTCACTATTGTCGCAACTTTCACATTGAATAGAGATTTTACATGCTAGTCCTGAAACATGTTGTTTACATATTTTTAGCTTGCAGTGACACACATCGCACACTGCTACACTTTGTAAGGTTGATTCTAACATTTTCAAGTCTACAATATTGTACTCAAAATCTTCATTCTCTCCATAAACAGACAGAGACGGAGTCACTTTAGTTTTAGATTAAGAGGAACTAGGCCTACCATTAGATTCAACACTGTCATTTGTAATAGCCTGTCCAATATCTGGTGTTGGCCTAGGCCTAACCCTACTTACATTTTATATAGTTTCAATTTTCTTGTACTTATTCCCTAAAAACTTTCTCTTCTTTACAAGACTTGTACTTCTAGGCATCTTTAAACTTCACTATACACAACTAAGAAAAACAACTTGTGGCACAATACCATGTAAATTCGAATAACTTTTACTAATAACCTAATAGACAATATTATTGTTCAATGCAAACCACGAACAGACGAATATGCAGATGACAGCTGATGTAATATAGCCAGTACAACAGCAAAAATCAGGTTAGCCAACATAACTGCCATCAAGTGATAAAAGAAATGCCAAACTATTACTATATGAGCCACTGCAACGACCCTTGAGCACAAAAATCGACCCTGCATACATTTGTAAAAAAAATATTTTTAGCACTTTTAATTGAGATATCGTAATAAAATAAACGCCATTTTATTCAGAAAAGTCCATTCTTTTAAATAAAAAATAAATAAAAAGATTTAATTTTTTCATATTTTTGGCCAAGTGCTCCCCTTTGTTTATCAGTATTGTTAGTTTTTTTAGAGGTTAACTGTAAGAAAGGACCGTGAGGTCTTTCGCCTCTATAGAGAAGGATTTTCATTTCATTTCTACATCCGGATATAATGGGAGATTTAGTGTATTTAGAAAGCCATAATCTGAGTAAAAAAGTTCATCGTAAAAGCTGCAAAGTTAAACTGTTCAGCTTTTCGCTTGTGAACTTCGTTTTTAACGTTTAACTTCCTAATATTTTACGTAATATTCGCTGTTTTAGATTCAGGAGCATGTTTTAGATTCAGGAGCATTTTTTAACGCCAATACTAATAAATTGACCTTTATAGTAATCTGGTCACAAATGCTACCTACATGTGTCCGTTTTATGGTATATAAAAGCATTTTTGAAGCTTTCACAAAATATTTTTCTGTAAGATTCGTACGATACTTTGTATGTAGGAAGTTTTTCCTTAAACATCATGTATATCCTTACAACGTTAAACTCTTCGGGAAGATAGGGTTTGCTTAAGTAATGTAAGCCGTTATGACTGCTACGCCCTTTAAAAGATGATATGTAACTTTTTTGATAGTTTATTTCGTCATCTGTCAGTTTATGTGGCCTATTATAATGTTTACCTCGTTTATCTTTAGGGGACACCCGAACTAGTTTTTACGACCTGACTAGATGTTCAATTTTTTTCTTGCTGTATAGCAATAAAGGCTTTCTTACACACGATTTGTTCTGTCATCTTGCCATTCACTCTGTAGACGACCATTATCGGGCACTAATCCAAACCATAAGACTAAATATGGATCCTAAATATGGACTAATTATGGACTATGCCCAGGATCCTAAAAACCTTTAGAACCGAAAATCTAAACCGATTTTGGGATGAAAATCAGCACAAACTCAAAACAGCCTAAAGAAAATTCAGAAAGAAATTCCTTAACAGATTTTATTGATAAACCACTTACTCCGAATGTAGATGGCAACCTCACTAACGACCCCAGCTTGATCAGTGACACTTTCAACAGATACTTTGTATCCCAGGGAAACTGCACTTCATTAAATGATCCTCGCCTTCCTCCTACAAGCCAGCATGAAACTACCAGCACAACAAGAGGCTTCGAATTATCAAATTTTAAGCCAATAACCATGAACCAACTCAAAACTCAAATCCATGCTCGGTGAGAGTGGAGATGCGCTGACTTTGGCAATCTCATCCAGCCATCCCCAGCCGGACAGGCTTATATGGACATCTCCTTGTAGAAGTCCCTAAGTAGAAGAATTACAGCTGCCGTGTACCGTTCAAAGAGCAAAAGATACTCACTGTGGTGTCACTTCACACCCGTCAAACCATCCTACATGCAATAGCCACCCAACAAACCAGACATAGGGAACACCATCACAACACCAGACATACATTAGATTTCACCCTTCCAATCCACTAGCTATCACTTACCAAAAGAAGACCATCCTACAAAGGAGCTAACCTTAAACCTCCTTCCAGAACAACTTAAACAGCAAAATAATTCACCCACATTCAAGAAAAAACTTACAGACTGGCTGCTAGAAAGACCTTTCTACACCGAAAAAGAATTTATCTCAAGACCTTAAAATGAAATGTTTCTGTAACTGTAATCCAACCGTAAATTTGACGCTTCTGAAGGAATATGTAATAAAGAAAACTAGTGGTTGCCCAGTGGTCGAAAACTCGATCAAAAATATGTAATGTACACATTGACTATTAGATATTGAAGAAGATATCCCATCTTTATTGACCAGCTGTCGTGCCGTCGCAATTTTTTTATTAAAAAACATTTAGTTATGTAAGCCAGTCACAGAAAGCGTTTCTAAAATTTTATTTTATATCTTATTTTTTGGATCAGCGTGATCTGATGGTGGCTCGCATCAACTATGACGAATTTAATTGTATTTTCCTTCCACCATGGTCTATTGTCTCACGTCTTCTAACGTTCAACACCATTGTTTGAATTTAAAAACACAAGATGGCTTGTTCTAAAGTACGTTTTCAATGGTGTGTTGTTGTAGTACTCCCAATTTTGAAATGTTTTAATCCCCTCATCAATTTCTTTTTTGGTAGGCGCATTGGCTATATTGCTTCCCTAGGCTCTCTTTCCTAGGGGCACTGGCAATTTTGCTCTTGATGTCCACCTACTCCAAGCCGACCCTCTAAGGGAGGAGCATATAAGAACATTAATCGTGGAAAACTTTTGTCAGACTTAATATTTCTTCCATAGCAAAATCCACCAATATCTACTTCGGATTTCTGTCTCCATTAAACGATCTAAAGACTTTTAGACCTTCTGTTATGGCCTCCTTTGTTTCATTTTGAGTGATAATCACACCAACAACTTGAAAATTAACATTGGTTTCCACCACTGCAAAAAAATAGAGGAAGAGCATACTTGCACGTGGCATCCAACAAAATCGAATTGTGTCCATACTTCCTACATGTTCGCTTCATATTTTTGTCTTGATAGACTAAAAAATTCGTAGGTGGATGACATTCTTTATTCACATCATCGTCGTCATAATCAGATCCTGTATGGCCATCTGACCTGAAATAGACATTGCAAATTAGACCATTCTTATAATATTTAAGAAAAGCCATACAGTTTTCCTTGTCCGCAGGACGGTTTCTTATCTTCAGTTTAGTATTCGAAATTATAGTTAGAAATGCTTTCACCTCAGGGTAGAATTTTCTTCTGTTCTTATCATTATTTTGTGGTTTTTTTCTATATATGCATTTGTTAGTTTAGCAATAACCATTGCATATCGAATTTTTCTCATACTTCCTATATGTTCGCTTCATATTTTTGTCTTAATAAACTAAAAAAAAAAAATCTCAGGTGGATGACATTCTTTATTTTCAACATCGTCTTCATAATCAGATCCTGTATGGCCATCTGACCTGAAATAGACATTGCAAATTAGACCATTCTTATAATCTTTAAGAAAAGCCATACAGTTTTCCTTGTCCGCAGGACGGTTTCTTATCTTCAGTTTAGTATTCGAAATTATAGTTCGAAATGCTCTCAATAATATAATGCTCTCGAAATGCTCTGTAATATACTAAAAATGTGAGGTTTGTCATTGTCCCAAATGTATTCATGAGTTGACTTTGTGGGTTGATGTAAATATTAATAACATTATATTCTCTCAAAATCTGTTTGTTCATGTTCCAGGCTAATTATTTGCGGGCAGTTGGTGGAGCAAGTGTAGAGGACCTGACGAGAAGGATTCTAGCCTACATTTTCACGAACGATTAAGCAAATTTAACTTGGTAATATAAGGGCACACTAGCTTTACCACACAGGGACTAAGTATTGTGTTAACTTTGCTGTGTACATATTTTTTTAATTACAATAGTGAGAACAAAATTAAGCAGTGTATTTTATATTATTTTTATGTTTAAAAATGGAACTATTTATTTTTTTATGTAGTGCATGACTATTGCAGAAATGACTATTGTAAATATTGTACAATTGATGGAAAAGTAACATATTCTCATTCTTACAACAAACAGCCTATGAGTTTTTTCCCATTCCCTGTTTCAAACAATTGATGGTTAACAAAAATTGAATAGGTGTGTAACATTACAAAAGAATACTTAACGTTTGTTTCTTATCTTTGAAAAGTATTTTTTCAATAATTTAATTGAATAAAATAAATCTTTATACCATAAACGAAAAACTAAATACAGTTGAAAGGCCTGAAGACATTTTTTTGCACGCTGTTTTTCTTGTTGTGTCAAGTTTGTTGCGCTGTTTTGCCTCCTAAGTTGCACTGGCATGAAAAGTAATTATGAGTCATACCTGGGTTTGGAACCTAAAGAAGTTATATATTGACACATTTCCTTTGAAGTTTAGGGTGTCAAAGACGCCACCGGAAATACGGGCAAGTAAACACGTATTAGGGCGCCATCTGTATTACTTCTTCCAAAGTGATCACATTGACCAAATCACTAATAAAATAGAGACAGGTGAACAATTCATCTAAGATTTTTCATTCTATCCTAGTTTGAGCGCTCTTTTCTTGTTTACATGATCATAATCATTATTTAAGAGTTCTATTTTAACACAGACTTGTGTAATATTTATTTAGATGATTTATACAGTTAATCTTTTTTATGGCTAAAAACTTTCAAATTCACCAGCAATACGTTTAACATAAGTATAATCTTGAACCAATAATAAATAGGTTATGTTCACATCATGGGCACACCTAAAATTTGTCCAAGAAAGAGAGTGCAGCATGGCGTGATTGATAAGGTTAGTTTTTTACAAGGTGCTGTCATTTGATGTTAGTCAAATCAAAATCAAAGTTTTATTGGGCCATTCAACATTTAAGTAATAGGTTAGGTCACAAATTATAATCCTCTTGGGTCCTTTTGACGTACAATAGTCAGTCCATAATAATGAAATAAAAACATGCACAAACATCATGCAGATAACACTAAAATATATATAAAAATAAGTAAAAAAGATTGATACCAAACACGACATGCAAGAACAGGCTGCTATAAATCACTTTATTCAAGTCCAATCGTCATTGGTGAGAAATCTGCTTCATTATAGATTAGGTTGCTGTCTAGTGTGAACACAGTCTTGTTGTAAATATTCTAACGAGTTTCCTGGCATAATTTTCAAATATGTATGACCCAATACGTATTATAAATATATTTTGTTTTGGTATTTTTAGTGTATAAAAAATACGTATATTATCTGTAATTTTAGGTGACATATGTACGCATTATATACATATTTGTGTTGCCTGGGTTCCTATATTTAGTGCCTGCCGCCCAATACACATGATAGGAGGACAGTCTTATAATTTATGATATCATATGTATGCCTAGGAACACCCCCTGTTCAAAACCAGATACACAAATACTCGTACCCTTTTTTGCACAGAAAGCAGTGTACCAATTTTAAATGCAAAGGTTTCAAATCCGCGCCAAGGCAATGTACAAGTCAGTCCAACCATGACGTAACGCGAAGGAATACGACAGCAGAGGACTCGAACTGTGCCGTGTGCACTCGCCTCGCCACTCGTATATCGCCGTCAACAGCAATGGTCGCGTCGTCACCGGAGTAGGATGATTTTATTAATATCTTAATTCGTGGCTCGAAGAAATGTAGTACCATAGAGAACTTAAGTTAGAAGTACACAAGGTCCTAAGAACTTCAATAGGTAAGTTAGGCAGTTGAAAAATCTTACACTTGAAACAGGAAAACATTTCTGAGCCATACCTACTTAGTCAATGACCAGTTAAATGTAGGCTATGCTATCGGAGTTTCTAGTGTCATATGGGTGGATCTCCTTGATTAAGACAAAGCTACGCTCCTTAGACTTAATGGCAATTAGACATTGATAAATGTAAGCTACACAGTAATGACTGTCATAATCTGAGAATGTACAAACTATGGCTTAGAGTGTGCTCGATAGCGTGTCCCACATAGGCTTACAACTCGCACTGCTTTCTTTTGCCATATAAGGAATTCTGAACATTCGGGGTGTGACCCTAGGGCCTAGAGCCTTGGCCCATACAGAATGTAAGTTAAAGTTGTTAAGGTAAAGGGAAATTCACTCATGAGCCTTTTTGCTTGGACTAAACAACATTCCTAAAGTGTTGCCTTCATTGAGCATGCTAACTTAGCCCTAACCAGGTTAAGCCCTACATTTAAAGGCCTAGATTACTTCATATTGACTGAAATAGGAAAATTATAATAATGTAAGTTACCCTCAGGAGCCGATCTATTTTCCAATTTGTTTACATGATTTATGTTTATAAACTGCTCATCAACATAGTGAACATTACTTAGGACTTGGTTAAAAAACGAATGTGTCAACATAATTACGTGATTAAATAAACTAGGAGATATAATTTAATACAGAATATAAAATACGTATTTTGCACGTAAAAGTCGGTTCTTTATGTTGTGCGTAAATCACTTGTTATGGTAGTTAGATGAAAAATATTGTGCTTTTTTTATTTCATTGTAATAAGTTCGTTTTTTAATTTCGTATTACAATATTTTAATGAACATAAAAACATAAAAATACGTATTATATACATATTGCAATTGACGTATACATGCCTTATACGTTAATACCCTAAATATACGTGTTTTATACTAAGGCTGCTGCTTGGGCAGTCATATTACTGTGTATTTGAAAGTATTAGATCATACATTCATGTCAATGATAATACAAATATCTCAAATGGTTCTATGACAAGTTATTCAAGAGTTGACCCATGATTGGCGCTGTCATGAAGAACATGAAAAAAGCCCCCTCGGACTCGAAGGTTTTAATCAAAGGGGTTTGGACTCATTGTGAATCAATCATAACTTTCAAGGTAAGATCGCAAATCAAACAATGCAACAACAAAAAACCACAGGTGGAGTATCAAAGTTATTTCACCATGTAACTGGCGTAAAATGTGGCATAACTCATTATTATGAAATTGTTGGTAATGGTACAGTTGAGGAAGACAAACTAAGCATCTGTTGTGTCTTAGCTGTTTGACTAGTAGACATTTTGCCAAAGGGTAAGAATTATAAATTATTTATCGACAACTCGTTCAACTCTCCTTGCAATCTAAAAGAGATAGGGGTCTTGGCAGTAGGGACTATTCATTCTGTTAGAATTGTTCGCAGTCCATTCAAAAAGGATAAACGACTTCTCGATGAAGGGCGAAGAAGTATGGATGTAAATCTGGACACAGAAAAATACAATATCGGTTGCAAGTGAGCTGGTTGAAACGACGTGCCTTGCATCAACATACGTAGTTGCAGATTCTGTTGACGAAGTCATGACATGGTCTACAGTGAAAACCCAGAGAGTTCCTGTCCAGCACGTGTAAGATAATATAACGACGTTGTTGATTGGTGGGGGGGGGGGGGGTCGATCTACACGACTTGTTGGTTGTCATACATACAGCAACACATAGTTTAATGTCGTAGTAACAGTGATCTGGAAGACTTTACTTATTGGAATGGCAATGATCTGACATACTAATGAGTGATACCTAGGCTTGTACCAAGGCATAATATGAGATACAAGTTCAACTAAATGGGAACTCATATTGAACTCTCCCTGAAATAATAATAAATGAGAAAAAAAGAATGTTTTAAAATTATTGCTTACCCCCTGATTCAAATGAACCATTAACTTTGTTGGTCTCAGCACCCTCTTCTGCATTTTTAAAGTTAGGTTGATAATCACTGCTGCTACATTCTTCTTCTAGAGTATTAGATTATTTAGATCTGTGAGCCTTAGTGGCTAATGCAAGTATTAAATCAGCTCTTCGTGCCATCAAATTATTAATACTTGTGTGCATAGAATACTGGATGAAGTGGTCAAGTGCACATTGCCACGATTAGAATTGTGACTGGGGGCGTAACCGGGATCGATTTAAATAATAAGAATACTTTAGTGAGAGGTAAAAGAATGTTTAATCACTATTCAAATAAAGTGGATGGACAATATGATAAAGATAATAATAAAGACAATAATAAAATTTGATGATAAAATAATTACAGGCTCCTTTTATTTAAGTAGGCCTAAGCAAATGAAATTTATATATAAAACTCTAATATAAAACTCTTATAATTATAATTCTTTTTGACACGTTATTATATTCAAACAGGAATTTAATAGTCACAATATTTATTCACACAAATTATAAATGAAATCAATTATTATAAAAATGATTACAATTAACATCAATCAATCACTGACTTTAAAAAGTTAAGTTAGCCTGGACAATCACAAAAATTATAAAGTTGAAATATTAATAAAGTAATCGCCTTACCAAAAACCCGGTGACCGGCGAAGTGTCCCCGTGGATAGACTGGGGCCAAGTGTCTTCCTTTCGGTCAACTCCAACCTCAGTCCCTCCAAAGTACAATTATTGCTAAGTCTACGGTTTTTGTGGTCGGTCAATTGAGCAAGCTACGTGTCATCAAGAATTCTGTCTACTAAATGCCAATGTTCTGACACTGATATATGCATTGTGAAATCCATTTGTCTTGTCAGTAATGACCACAACATGAAATTTACCCTTAATTATATATAAATCTATAAAAAATTTAAAAATAATGATATAAAGAACGCAGAGGATACGCGTCCGGTAACCGGACGTGGATTAGGCGTCCGGCAGTTACTGTCATAACCTAACCTAACCAACCAAACTTGCTGATAATTAAAAAAATCAGATGAAGGTTCAATTCTCTTCATAACATAAAATTATAAATGCCAAAAATTCTAACAAAAGAT